AGAATGTCTCATTACTGTGCTTAATAAAAGGGGCACTTCTCCCTTCCTTCTGCAGCACACACCAGTAAACTCAGTTAGGAGGTCGAGTTATCTCCAGTCTGCAAGCAGCTATCACACCCCTAATTAGGCTCTGATGAATATTAAACACAAGCCTTCACCTAACCAAAAAAGATCTCACTCTAATATTCATTTTGGATGTGAACAGGTTCAGAGGAAAAGATCAAAATATGTTCCAGGCTCTTAACAGGGATAAATTTTTATTGGGCAACACATATATTGAACTTTATCTACTGCCAGGACTGCAAAGAAACAGACTTTCAAGTGAAGATTACAATGGCAATAAAGATACTGAACCCAAAACAAAATTAACCAGCTGTCTGTGCCTAAAAATCAGTGTCACACTGTCTGTTGCTGCTGTGCAATTCTTCCCTCTGTTGTCAAACTGTGCAACTGCATCACTAACAGTGATGCACAGGGAACCTCGTGAAGCTGTTCAGTATTGGTTTCCCAAAGACATTTCCTAGGGTTGGGGGTTTTCTTCCATCTTTTAAAAAAAGATATTGTAGGAAAACATCATTTAAGGAAAAAATAAATACACTAATAATATGTAACTGTGGCTACAAACAGCCAATTTGTCTGGTGAACAGTGTCCATTCCAAGTTAACTCATCCTCAGGAGATGCTCCCTCAGTTCCACAGAGAACTCAGAGTGTGACCTCTGCCTTTGAAAATGGGAGTTGAGTAGGGAGAAACAAAAGGCACAATGATTCCCCAGTGACAACACCCTTGGTTTGCCCCAGTGAAGGCCACAAAAATCACTCCCTCTGCATTTGGATCTCCAAATGCAATTCCACCCTCTGCCGTTGTGGGATCAAACCCTAATGAAATCCTCCCCTACCACCAGCACAGAGGGAATTTGCTATTGCTGCAGGATGTCCTGGTTCTGAGCAGCTCTGGGCCTGGCAGTGACCACAGCCTGGACATCCTCCTCAGCCCCTGGTGTGACACAGCTGCATCTGGCACCAGCACAGGATGAGATGCTGCTGGATTTGTTGCTCTGATCTGAACAAACATGTTCTGAGAAGGGCCCAGGACAACTGGTGGTGGATCCACACTTGAAGGTGCTTAGCATCTTGTTTTGCAAAGGAAAAAGCTCAAGTTTTCCTCTCTCTACCTGGGCTTTCCATGCAGTTTCATACATTCATGATGAGCCCTTGGCTGCTCTGTGTACCAAAGCACTGTGGTCACTCCAGCCCAAACTTCCACTGCCGTGTTCATCAAAGCCCAAAGGCTTCTTTTGATGATTGCATCACTTCTCCCCAAATAAAAATCACTTTCATTACAAGATTTACTACAATGAAAACTGAATTTAATGTCCTATTAACATAATTTAGTATCTGCATGTTTAACCAAGCTGAAAGAGGACTGCACAGTCCCTGCTTAAATTATTCCCTTAATGTGTCTAAGCATTGAGGTAGATTAAAATGAAGTTCTGAATGTTTAAGCAATCTGTAGCATCTGCAGCCACTTTGCAGGACACTTTCTGGTCTTAAACCAACTTTTATGTGTTGGAACATACATGCAGCAATATTTTCTGTCCTAACTAAAAGCCTGGCAAGAGAAAGGCTTTGCCTTCTGTACCCCTGGAATCACTGAGGAAGGCACCCAAAGCAGTGAGGAGCAGCCCAGGGAAGTTTCCTGCAGGAACTTGGTTCTACCTTAAGCTTGCACAAGCTAAAACCTGGTGGGGAATCTTAATCTAGACTTGACACCACACATTTTGTAGAAAAACTTAATCCTCTGAGCACACATGATTCATATCTCTTGGTAATTGAAGGGGGTGAGAATTCCAGTTCTTGTGACTGAGTGAGACAGCAGAGGGAACTGAATGCAGATTGCTGAAGTGCATCAGTTAGAACTGGTCAGAGCCAGTTTTCACCCAGTCTCATCTTTTATCTTAAAAGGCAACTTATAACATGTCTGTTGAAAAGGTCAGAGGGAACTACTGACAAATCCTTGAGAAGACATTTCAGGAGACTTCATTCTAAGAGCTCCACTCCCTCCACTTCTTGTCCTGCAGGAAACAGTTAACTGGTTTAAATTAATCTGTGCCAGACATGACTCTGAAATTAATTGCACCATATTTCATCTGTTGCATTTTTCTGAGTTAGGTTCTAGTCTTGTCTCCTTGCACTTTCCATACCAGTCAAAGGGCTCTGGCCTGTCCTCTCCACCTGATTCCCACTTATTCCACAGTCACCTGTACATTCTATTTGTGTTCCAAACTGCTATTGCACATGAAGCTGATGATCACAGAACCACCAAAAGTTTCCAGAACTTGTGCTTAGAATGAAGTTGAAATTAAACTTTTTACCAGAGCTGACAAAGTAAAGAGCAGTGAATCCTGTGCCAGTCACAGGGCTGAAGAACAGCAGATGACAACCTAAATTACTGGAAGAA